AGCAGAAAATATGGACATGGTCAACCATGATTTCTCCACATTCCTTCCAGCAGTATAGCTGGGTGACAGTTTGTTTAAACATCTGTTTGGGCGTGATGAAAAAGTGGATCAGGTTTTTCCAGCACAGTGTCTCCAGGTCTGAGAGTTAGAAAAGCTTTGTATGTTGATGATTTCAATTAACAAACCCTCTAGTGTTGGATCAATAATGTTTTCATCTCATAGCGAGTCCTTTTCCCTCCTTTTTAAAATTGTATTTCATTCATTCATTTATGTTTGCAGCAGTGGCATTTCTCCTAATTGTATATTGTATTGGCTGGTCATGTTGATGAGTTTATTGTCATGAAACTTGTATGTAAATGTCATAATTTGAGGGTGGGTGTCAAAAACTGCTCAAAGTTGAGACACCTTGACTACTTTGTGTATTTTACACGTTCAGGATTTGATGGGGACATAAAATTAAGTGGCGACAGCATAGACATATATACATAGAGGCCGCATCGAGTGGCTGAGCGCGTCCTCGCCGGCCGCCATCTTGGATGGGTCTCGCTTCGCCTCCACAGTGCATTCACTTCTGTTGAGGAAGGATCTGTATGCACAAGTAAAATAGAATAACTCACTGAATTTTCAACTGATTTTCACGGGGTTTGGTTTGTTACAAACGGCACACGTAGTTATGATACAGGATGCTTTCGTACATTAAAAATGCGAGATTTCATGCTGTAATACTTTCTGCAGATAGCAACAGCATGTTATTTAGGTCACAACACAGTTCTTTTATTCACCTCAACCCCAGAGTGGGATGGAGANTGAGGAAAAGTTGGAGTGACTGTAATTGTGATGAAGCAACAATGTCTTCAGTTGAGTATTTGAGAGTGTTTGTCAGCGAGAGACTAACTGCTGCTGCTGAAGAAATATTGGGAGTTTTTGAGAAAACTATTGTCGAGTACGAGAAAGAGATCGACCGTCAGCGCAGACTGTTGGATATAGCTTGGAAACCGGAAGTAAGGTTATACAGGACAGGTGAGTAGCACTTTATTATTTTAATACCACAAAAGAGAAGACTAATATTTATAAAACCAGCTCGCATGTGAGCATTTTCTTGTTTGCCATCAGAGTAGTATGTGTTCCTTCTGTTGTGTGTCCCTCCAGAGCTCCCACAGCAAGATGTGTGTAAGGAGGAGGAGGTTGTCGCTGAGCAGCAGCTCTGTATTGAGGAGAGGAAGTCCAGTGTGGACCAAGAGGAGCCAGAGCCTCCACAGATTAAAGAGGAAGAGGAGGAAGTGTGCAGCAGTCAGGAGGGAGAGCAGCTTGTAGTGAAGCAGGAGATGGAGACCTTTCTAGTGACTCCTAGTGATGAGGAAAGTGAGCAGCAGCTCCTCTGTCACAGCTCTCATGGAGCTGAGAGTGAAGATGAGGAAGGAGACGAGCAAGGAGACTCAACATCAAGTGGAGAAGCAGAGCCAGAACAACAGAATAGACGTCAGAAGCGCAGAAGTCACACTAAGCGTGTAGACAACCCCAACTTATCAGAGATTGATCATAATACTCACACAGGTAAAAAACCTTTTAAATGTGACACTTGTGGGAAAGCTTTCAAGTTTAAGTGTCATTTTAATGCACACCTGAGAATCCACACAGGAGAGAAGCCGTATTGTTGTAACATCTGTGGGAAAACATTCAGTCATATGTCAACTCTGAACGTTCATAAAAGAATCCACACAGGTGAGAAGCCGTATTGTTGCAACACATGTGGAAAAGTTTACCGATATAGAAGCCACTTGACTGGCCACATGAAAATCCACACAGGAGAGAAGCCATATTCTTGCAACACCTGTGGGAAAACATGCTCTAGGAAAAATGATTTGAAAGTTCATGCAAGAATCCACACGGGTGAGAAGCCATATTCTTGTAGCACATGTGGGAAAGGATTTTCTCGGACAACAGATTTGAAAGCTCATGCAAGAATCCACACAGGTGAGAAGCCATTTTCTTGCGAGACATGTGGAAATAACTTCAGATTCAGTAATCAATTGTTAGTCCATATGAGAATCCACACAGGTGAGAAGCCGTATACTTGCAAGACATGTGGAAAGGATTTCAGACGCAGTTGTCATTTGTTGGTCCACACAAGAAGAGCCCACACCAGTGAGAAGCCTTAACTTTGCAAGATCTGCAGGAAAAGATACTTTGATGAGTCTTATTTGATAAACCACATGAAATCACATACAGGCAAGTAGCCTTGTATTTCAAAAATCATATTGGAGATGATTCAGTTCTGGTGGCTCATGGTTAAACCACACAAGAAGTCAAAGAAGTGAGGAGCCACAGAATTGCAGCACATTGAAAAACATGAAAAACCTCTTGACACCTCATGTCAACTGGAGACCTGTCTTTTTTTGTCTGCTACATTTAATTTGGTATTTTTTGGTATTTTGTAAATGCATCAATGCCACAGCTGACTACAGACTAAACTGTAGATGATGTACTCCATGGTGCTGTCAACAGATCAGCTTATACAGTAGTAATGAAAAGTGAATGAATATTAATGATCTGTGCCCAAAGACATGTGTTCTCTTTTTTTAACTCATCTATTTATCCAAACACTAAAGTTTTGTTTTGTGATGATTTAACAATAATAAACCCTCTAGAGGTGTTGGATCACTTACGTTTTCATCCTGCCTACCAGTTCTTTTTTTGTCTGCAGCATTTCTCTGAGCTGTGTATTGTCATGTATTATGGTTGGTAATGTTGATAACTCTGTTTGCATAAAACCCCTAATTTGCAAATGGTTGTCAAAAACTGCTTACAATATGTCTGTAGAGGAGCGCTTCCAGGACTCAAATTGTTTGCTTGAGGTGCTCTTTGGGTGGGACAATCATATATAGCAAAACTCATGAAATTCCAAGGCACTCTCTTTGGAAAAATTAAAAAGCCTTTATTGTTATGGCTTGGTCATCTTAAACCTTTAAAAACTCTGACGCATTTTGGCATACAAGCCCTCGTCAGGGAGTCAAACAGTTTTCAAACTGGAAAAGACTTCCTTAAAAGCTTTCAAACCAGCAATCAGAGGCCTCCACTTGGCAGAAGCAGGTTTAGGGTTGTAGTACTATACAAAGACCACTAGATGTCCTCAATAGAACAGAATTTTCATGACTACATACAAAGGTTACATACAATGCATGCATCACTACAATACATATTAAAGTCAAAGGTATGGCAGGGCTCAACAATAAGGATTGCCCGATTGCCCGGGGCAAGTAAAACTCAAGGTCGGGCATGTAAACTAGCAACTCACTTGCCCGATTGGGCAAGTTGCTAAAAATAGTAAAAGTTAATAACTAATTGATAAAATAAATGTATTTTAAAACATGCTTCTTCGGCTCTGATGCAGCGGTCTCTCTGCCTGAAGTCACAGGCACACACTGTGTAACAATGTCCTGCCCACAGCCCCCATTGATATTATTTTGCGCGACGAACGCTTCATATAATAACATAACAATATACTATTTATGGTGTTATGTCATCGTGTCATTTCTGTCTCTACATGGTCACGCGTTAACAATTCTCCTCTGCTCTCCGTATCGCGCACGGCGGAGTTCCGCCACACACACAGGTGAGCACGCTAGAGCGGCTCGGGCCGCATTTTCCTGACCAAACCTGACCCCGAGCCCGGTGCAGTTTGTCAGATGACAAAGTTATTGAAATGGACACTGTGTAAATAACCACCAACAGACTGCTGTTACGCACAGACAAACAGCTGCTCGCACGGCAGCGCAGCACGGCACTCCTGCTGAGTTTGTGTTGCGTTCAGGCGTTGTCACGTAAATAACAACTTCCAACACTTAAATAGGTCATAGTACAAAACAGCAGCATGTCATGTGACTTTTTACTTTTATTATATTCAATACAATTGTATGTTCCTAAATCTTGAGACACATCATATGTAAGCTAGACAGACATTTCACCTGCTCATTACTCTGCACACATGTACTGTATGTACTTAGTCCTAAAGAGCCCTTCTGGTGCCAGTAGATACATAGAAACATCCCAGCAGGCTGTGCTTTGCAAGCATACAAAAAAGTTTCACGCATGCGTGTGCTTCACCTCCGCTGCTACAACTCCATCCTAGGGGAAACACTGCTGTGTGCGTTTTGTGCAACAGGTGGATGTGGTAGTCTACCGGTAGAGTAGAGAGAGAGCTAAGTAGCGTTGAAGTAGAGTAGAGCAGGGCAGAGAGATGGAAGCAAAATATATTAAACCCAGTGTTAATGCAGCAGAACTGGAGAGAGGGGTGAAAAATAAATAGAGGTGGACATGGCTGAAGTAGGGCGCAAAATTATAGACGGAAAACGATTAACAAATTTTTCACTTTAAGCCCTGACACTGTCATATTTGTGTAGGAATTAAGCTACAATACATGACATATGTTGTTTTAATTAATAAATACAGTGTGAATAAAGATTACATAACATAAAAATAACTGCAGTCTTTGTTAATTGATAGCCGCTTAAAGTAAACAGTTTTTATAGGGCAAGTAAAAACTGACTTAGGGCAAGTAGATCTCTGACCAACTTGCCCGACCGGGCAAGTGAAAAAAAACCTTAGCGTTGAACCCTGTATGGTTTACAAGTCGACAAAAAACAACAAACAGCAAAGGAAGAGGAGAACGCGGAGAGGCAGAAAGAAACTGGGAACCCAGATGGACACGGAGCAGAACCAGACACGAGTCGTAATCAACATCTCTGGCAAAGCCCTGTCTGAAGAGAGCTTCCTATGACATTGAAATTTTATTCAAGCATAAAAGAGCACCCAGGCAAAGTAATCTGTCTCACACTGAAAAGAAGGCTTTGGAAACACTATCCAAAGACAGTGATCTAGTAATTAAAAATTCAGTTAAAGGTGGTGCTATAGTAATTTGGGGAAAGGACATGTATGTAAAAGAGGCTTTCCATCAGTTAAACAACACAGAGTTTTATCAACCACTGACATTTAACCCTACTGAGTCTCTTAAAGAGGAACTGAGACAACTACTACATGTGGCCAAAAACAATGACTGGATCTCTGAATCTGAACTTGGTTTCTTGTGGAATGAAAACCCAAGAGTGGCATCATTCTACATGCTACCCAAGATCCATAAGTGTGTTGAGAACCCTCCAGGGAGACCTGTGATCTCTGGAAATGACAGTCTCACTGAACCAGTCTCTAAGTACATTGACTGTTTTATCAAACCTCTTTTGCCTTCACTTCTGGCATTTGTCCAAGACACCACAGATGTTCTGAATAAGATCACACAACTACAAAATAGTGGCTCTGACACATATCTAGTCACTATAGAAGCATTGTACACTAACATTGAACACACACACAGGGTCTTGCAGCTCTGACACATTTTTTGAGTAAGAGACCTGAGTCGGAAATGCCACCCACTGATTTCTTACTGTCATTAACTGAATGGACATTGAATAGTAATGTCTTCATCTTCCAGGATAAGACTTTCAAACAGATAAAAGGTTGTCCCATGGGGGCCTGCTACAGCCCATCATATGCAGGTCTGTTTCTGGGAAAGTGGGAAGAAGACTTTGTCTTGAATCAGGAAAAGAATGCGTACTTCAAATGCATTGTCTGGTGGGGACGTTTAATTGATGATGTTTGTTTGTTTTGGTCTGGGTCAGAGGCAGAGTTGAAAGATTTTCATGCTTTTTTGAATAGCATTCATCCCAACATTAAACTGTCTGTGGAATATAGTAAAGATTGTATTAATTTCCTTGACCTGACTATCTTTAAAGACAATCATGGTGCCCTACACACTTCAGTATTTAGAAAACCTACTGATGGGAACACCATTCTGCATGCTAAAAGCTTCCACCCTAAGTGGCTGAAGGAAAATGTTCTTTATGGGCAATTCCAGAGAGTCAGGAGAATTTGTGACCAAGATAATGCTTTTGAGTGTAAAGCACAAGAGATGATGTCACGTTTTAAGGAACGGGGTTACGAAAGCACAACTCTCCAGAAAGCATCCACCAGGGCCAAACATGCAGACAGGGCATCACTTCTACAAAGAAATCCACCTAAGCCAACAAAAGACAGGCCCATTTTTGTCACTACATATAGTACAGAGGCAGAACAAATTAAGAGAATGATAAGAAAAAATTGGGGTATTATTGAAAGTGATGATGTGGTCGGCCAGATGTTTCCTGAGTCACCTCTGGTCACCTTCAGGAGATGTCCTACGATTCTAGACAAACTGGTCCACAGCCATTTGAAACCAGAAGGCCAACAAATGTGGTTGGGATCTAAGCCCAAAGGGTCTTACAAATGTCATCGCTGCAATCATTGTACAAATGTATTACAGACCAAAACCTTTGGTGATGTTGTATCCCAAAAACAATTTACCATTAAGCATTTCATAAACTGTAAAACTGTATTTGTTATATATATATATATATATATACTGGAATGCCCTGACTGCAAAGTGTTTTATATAGGAAGAACAAAGAGACGTTTGCAGGACAGACTGGCTGAACATAAATTTGCAATCCGCACAGGCAACATGAACTATCCTATGGCGAGGCACTACATGGAGCAGCATAATAGTGACCCATCCACCATACAGGCATGTGGGATTGACCATATACCACAGTCACTAAGGAAAGGAGACGGGCAAAAACAACTAAACCAGAGAGAAAGTTTCTGGATTGACAAACTGCAGGCTACTAGATACCCAGGCCTGAACTAAGTTCTTGATTTTAGTGTCTTCCTTTGATTAACTGTGTTTTTTCTATGGTGTTTGGTTTGTTGTTTTTTGTCGACCTGTAAACCATATGTATTGTAGTGATGCATGCGTTGTATGTAACCTTTGTATGTAGTCATGAAAAGTCTGTTCTATTGAGGACATCTAGTGGTCTTTGTATAGTACTACAAACCTAAACCTGCTTCTGCCAAGTGGAGGCCTCTGACTGCTGGTTTGAAAGCTTTTAAGGAAGTCTTTTCCAGTTTGAAAACTGTTTGACTCCCTGACGAAGGCTTGTATGCCGAAACGTGTCGTAATTTTGAAAGGTTTAAGATGACCAAGCTATAACAATAAAGGCTTTTTAATTTTTCTAAAGAGAGTGCCTTGGAGTTTCCTGAGTTTAGCTCCTATGCTTAGTTTAACTACAGCAGGAAGCCTCTGTTCTGTTACTGTTGCCTATCTTATCTTAGCTTATCCAATCTTATCTTAGCTTAGCCAAGTGTACCTTAGCTCAGCTTATCTCTCATCCAAATTTATCTTATCTTATCTCATCCTAGTTTAGCTTGGCGTAGCTTAGCTCAGCTTGTCTCTTATCTTGTCCTATATTGTCTTAAATTATCTTATCATATCCAATCTTATCTCGGCTAATTTCTTATGTTAGCTTATCTTATCCAATCTTAGCTTAGTTTGGCTTAGCGTACCTCATCTTTTATCCAATCTTATCTTATCTTATCTTATCTTATCTTATCTTATCTTATCGTATTTTATCTTGTCCATTCTTATCTTAGCTAAACTAAGCTTAGCTTCTCTCTAATGTTATGTTATGTTATCTTATCTTATCTTACCTTATCCAATCTTATCTTCGCTTATCTCATCCAATCATCCCTTGTCTTATCTTATCTTATCTTATCGTATTTTATCTTGTCCATTCTTATCTTAGCTA